TGCCCCTGCCTGGAGGGCTTCTACCGGGCCAGTTCTGACCCCCCAGAGGCCCCCTGCACTGGTGAGTTCCCCACCCATCCAGGGTTGGACATGGGGATAGGGGTGGGACCAGGAGAGGGGGAGCCTGAGGGCAACACGGTGCAGCTGGTTTGCATTTGCAGTGATTTCTTTCTCCTGTGTCTTGGTTTTCCTATCCCGATGCTCTTTCTCTGATCCCACCCCCACCTGGCCCACCCCGTTCCTCTCTCCTCCCACCTGCCTCCTCGGGCTTTCCCGCTGTCTCCCCGCTGAGCCATCCACCCTCTCCTACCTCCTTCCTTTCCCCAATCATCCCCACACCTACAACTTCCTCCCTCGGGCCCTCCCCAGGCCCTCCGTCCGCCCCGCAGGAGCTGTGGTTCGAGGTGCAGGGCTCTGCGCTCATGCTGCACTGGCGCCTGCCGCAGGAGCTGGGGGGCCGAGGGGACCTGCTCTTCAACGTCGTGTGCAAGGAGTGCGACGCGGGAGGCGCGGGCGCTTGTCGCCGCTGCCCCGATGAGGTGCATTTCGACCCCCGCCAGAGGGGCCTGACGGAGAGCCGCGTGCTAGTCGGGGGGCTCCGGGCACACGTGCCCTACGTCTTGGAGGTGCAGGCTGTCAACGGGGTGTCAGACCTCAGCCCCGACCCTCCCCAGGCTGCAGCCGTCAACGTCAGCACCAGCCACGCAGGTGAGCCTTACCCCGTCCCAGGCTTCCCCTCACCTCCTCCGGACCCCCTCCCCACTTACGCTCTCCAGCCCCCCCCCCCCCCCGGAAACGCCGACTAACGCCCCGCGCCAGTTCCCTCCGCAGTTCCTGCGGTGCACCAGGTGAGCCGGGCCTCCAACAGCATCACCGTGTCCTGGCCGCAGCCTGACCAGACCAACGGCAACATCCTGGACTATCAGCTCCGCTATTATGACCAGGTGGGGGGGGGATGGGCGCCCTGCAGGGCTGGTGGGAGCTAGCAGTGCCCCACAGTGGCGCTGGAGGTAGGGGGCCGGGAGAGGGGCCTAGGAGTCCTGCAGCAGGGGCTTGGGAGGACCTGGGGGAGGAGCAGGGGTAAGAGGGGCCACCACAGCCAACAGGGAGTGAGTAGCTGTCACCCCCAGGCAGAAGATGAATCCCACTCCTTCACCCTGACCAGCGAGACCAACACAGCCACCGTGACCCAGCTGAGCCCCGGCCACATCTATGGCTTCCAGGTGCGGGCTCGGACTGCCGCAGGCCACGGCCCCTACGGGGGCAAGGTCTATTTTCAGACGCTGCCTCAAGGTGAGAGGAGGCCTGGATGGGGAGGGGGTGGCCCAGTAAGATAGTGAGGAGGGGTGCAGGGACCACCCAGGACTTGAACCTTCACCCCAAACCCTCCAGACTAGGAGAGTGACTGCCCGCTGATCTTGGGGTCAGCGTGGGGAGGGGGCGTGGGAGGGTGTGTGGGTGCACTGACGTGTGGGACTGTGCACACCTGTGACTCTGGGCCGCTGGTTCTCCAGGTGAGCTGTCCACCCAGCTTCCTGAGAGACTCTCCTTGGTGATCGGGTCTATCCTGGGGGCGCTGGCCTTTCTTCTGCTGGCAGCCATCACCGTGCTGGCCCTCATCTTCCAGAGGTGAGCCCCCCCCCCCCGCCATGGCCCAGAAGCCCCAAAGCCCCTGCAGAAACCCCCAGGAAGGCCCTTCTCCACCACCCAGCCCCTGCCCCTGGGCCCAGCCCCGCATGCCATTGATCCCTGGCAGGATGGACATTGGCCTCCTCGGGGGCAGACAGGGGAGGAAGTGGGAGGGTCATTCCAGGACTCTGGTTTGTCCCTTAGGAAGCGGCGTGGAACTGGCTACATGGAGCAGCTGCAGCAATACAGCAGCCCAGGTGGGGGTGGCTCTGGGAATTGGGGGTGCACAGACAGAAAGCTGGGAAATGGGGCCGGGAGCACATGGCACGGCTGGGCTTCCCAGGGTTGAGAGCAGCTCCTTGTCACCATCATTGGAAGTGAGAGAGCATGTCGGGTGTGGGGGCAGCCTGGCCTGCACCGCACCCTGACGCTGTGCCCCGCACGCCTGCAGGGCTTGGGGGGAAGTACTACATCGACCCCTCCACGTACGAGGACCCCTGCCAGGCCCTCCGAGAATTTGCCCGGGAGGTCGATCCCACGTACATCAGGATCGAGGAGGTCATTGGGGCAGGTACCGCGGGGCAGAGGGAGGGCGTGGAAGGGGCCCCAGCAGGATCCCTTCTAGAAGGAGCAGGACACCCACCGTGGGACCTTCCTGGACACCCCCCAGCCCACACCTGCTCTCCCAGGCTCCTTCGGGGAGGTGCGCCGGGCCCGCCTGCAGCCTCGGGGACGGCGGGAGCAGGCTGTGGCCGTCCAGGCCCTGTGGACCGGAGGTGCCGAGAGTCTGCAGATGACCTTCCTAGGCCAGGCTGCAGTGCTGGGCCAGTTCCAGCACCCCAACATCCTGCGGCTGGAGGGCGTGGTCACCAAGAGCCGGCCCCTCATGGTGCTGACTGAACTCATGGAGCTGGGCCCCCTGGACAGCTTCCTTAGGGTCAGTCTGGCCTGAGGGTGAGGCAGGGTGGGGGCCGGCGGGGCGCGGGGCTTGGGTCCAGAAAAGTGGGAAGTGGGCAGTTCTCAGCAGTCCTGGAGACAGAGCTCTATGCCTTTGCTCCCTCCTGCCCCACCTCTGGGGTCTCCATCCTTCGTTCTCAGACCGTTTCTGATTCCCAGATCCCCTTGCTGTCTGGTGCCAGTGTCTGCTCTGTGATGTTGAGGTCCCCCCTCTTGACTGACCTCTTCCCCACTTTGGCTGACCTCTTCCCCACTTTGGCTGACCTCCTCCCCCCCTTGGCTGACTTCTTCCCCTGCCTTGGCTGACCTCTTCCCGTCCTTGGCTGACCTCTTCCCCACCTTTTGCTGACCTCTACCCCCGTCCCTCAGCAGCGGGAGGGCCAGTTCAGCAGCCTGCAGCTGGTGGCCATGCAGCGGGGCGTGGCCTCGGCCATGCAGTATCTGTCCAGCTTCGCCTTCGTCCACCGCGCGCTCTCTGCCCACAGCGTGCTGGTGAACAGCCACCTGGTGTGCAAAGTGGCTCGTCTTGGCCACAGTCCTCAGGTGAGAACACAGCCTTGGGGCTCCATATCCCTCAGGGGTGCCAGAGGGTGAGCTTCAACCTGGGGTGGGTGGATTCCACAGGTGCCATCCCTTAGTGTCTGAAGGGAGAGAGCTCTTCTGTGTGATGGAGGGAGGGGGCGTGGAGGGATTTCCAGGACCAAGGACACTGGGACCAAGAGGGCAGCAGACCTCCTAGAACTACCTCCTGTCCTTCCCTAATGTCTGACTCTAGAGTCAGGGCAGCTGGATACCAATTGTGAATGAACATGCCACCCTCAAGCTCTGTGATGTTGCACAAGTTTGTATTTCTGTGTGCCTCAGCCTCTGCATCTGTAAAATGGAGGTGGTGCCATCTCCCCTACTGGGTTATGCGGTTAAACGAGGTGCCTTATGGGATGTGAAGTCCGTGACACACCTGAGCAGGTAGTATCTGCTCAATAAATACGGCCGCTGTCATGATGACTGCTGTTGTTACTTGCAACCTCCCCTCAGGGCCCAAGTTGCATGCTGCGCTGGGCAGCCCCAGAGGTCATTGCACACGGGAAACACACAATATCCAGTGACGTCTGGAGCTTTGGGATAGTAATGTGGGAAGTGATGAGTTATGGAGAACGGCCCTACTGGGACATGAGTGACCAGGAGGTGAGCTCTTGACCCAGACATTGCAGATTCCCCACCGCCATCCCCCCAACCCACCAGCCTCACACTTTCTAAGACCCCCATCCTATAATACATTCACGTTCTAAGATCTCGTGGGTCTCCTTTTCCATATTTTTAAGTTCCTTCCCCACTCCAGTCTCATGCTCCGCCTGATCCCAGGCCACCTCCTTACCTAACACTACATTCCCTTCTGCCAGCAATAGCCTCCAAGTACCACATTCTTCCTCTGACTCCCAGGTACTAAATGCAATAGAGCAGGAGTTCCGATTGCCCCCTCCTCCTGGCTGCCCGCCTGGACTACATCTGCTTATGCTGGACACTTGGCAGAAGGATCGTACCCAGCGACCTCACTTTGACCAGCTGGTGGCTGCATTTGACAAGATGATTCGCAAGCCAGACACTCTGCAGGCTGGCGGGAGCCCCGGGGACAGGTCTGGAGCTTGGGGCTAGAGCCTGGGAAAGCTCGGGAGGGGAGCTACAAACCAAAAAGAAACTGAGGAGAGGGGGCTAGGATGAAGAGCGGACTTTGACCTGCCTGCCCCTCCCCCCTCAGACCCTCCCAGGCCCTTCTGAACCCCGTGGCCCTGGACTTCCCCTCTCTGGATTCCCCACAGGCCTGGCTCTCAGCCATTGGCCTGGAGTGCTACCAGGACAACTTCTCCAAATGTGGCCTCTGCACCTTCAATGATGTGGCTCAGCTCAGCCTGGAGTAAGCGGGGAGCAGGGGGGTGGGGGAGCCTAGGCCCGAGGCCGGGGGTCTTGCCTGGGATATGGGAGAGGCTGGCCCCAAGTTGATCCACTCCTCCCCCTCCGCTCCTGCCAGAGACCTGCCGGCCCTGGGCATCACCCTGGCCGGCCACCAGAAGAAGCTGCTCTACCACATCCAGCTCTTAAAGCAGCACCTGAGGCCGCCGGGCGCCGTGGAGGTCTGAGCCCGGGCAGGAAGCTGTGAACGGACGGTGCCCCTGCCCCAGTCCTGGACGCTAGTCCAAGGAGGGATGTGGGCGACGTGAGCCAGGCTCCACCTTGGCCTCTGAGAGGCGCCCACCGCGCCAACCCTTCAGACGCCTCATTCCTCACCCCTCCAACGACCTCCCCGCATTAAAGGGAAAGAAGGGATTTGCAAGCTGGAGGTGTGGTGAGGCCTGGAGCAGAGGGGTGGGACCGGGAGACCACATTGCCTCGCAGGCTGCGCCAGAGACACAGAGCAATGAGCAGGAAATGACTTTATTGGAAGGGAGGAGGTGGCCTCCCCCCAAAGCAGTACCTGTGCCCTCATTCACACCCCTTTCCACAGCCTCCTCAACTGTCTGCAGGTGTGACACCACCGTAGAGACCGGTGTCCGAGGCAGCAAGCCTTTCTTAAAGTGCTTTGCTCAGTGCAGCCACCTTCAGTTTAGCCAGGGTGGGTGACACTGGGCCCTGTGCTCAGCTGAGGCGGGGGCCAGCTCCTCAGTTTCTGGTGCCCTGGAATGGAAGTAGAAGCCTGGGGGCAGTTGTTCCCAACTTGCATTCCTTGGGTTCACCCTACTCTAATCTTCCAGGTCAAGGGGGTAGAGGTCTAGGCAATTTTTTTTTTCCTGATGCTCTCAGGAGCCGAGGCAAGAGGAGGCACTCAGATCTGGTACTCCCAGCCCTCCCCGTCTTCCAGAGCCTTGTTGACCACCCCCCTCAGAGTCTCCTGCCGAAGCCTCTCCCAGTTGGTGCTGCTGCGGGAGGTACTTCGAGACACCGAGGGGGTAGGAAGGGACAGGTGGGGGCCAAAGGGGTGGCCTAGCCACGTTTTTTCTGTCTTTTCCAAGTCTTTGTCCAAGTCGTCCTCGGAGCCTGGGTTGCAGAAGGCATGCGCATAGCGCTGGACGCGCTGCCGGTTGAGCTCCTGTCTGTCCTCCACCCTGCGGGGACGGGGGACTCAATGGAAAGGCTGACCTTGGCCCAGCCCTTGGCTCCCAGCCCCTCCCCATCCCCACTGCTATCGGCCTGTTGCTTGTCTGCAGCCCCCATGGACACAGGGGACGCCAGGCCTCAGGAAGTAGTACACTGGGGTCCAGCAGCTCTGTGGATGCTTTCAGGGCCTAGGGATCTAGCAGGTCCCTGCCCCCAGTGAGGCTTGAAGCTTAGGGAGCACAGGGATGCTGGCCTGTGCCGTCACTCACCGCAAGAACCAGCGATCTCCCAGCCCAAACTTGCGCCCACAGATCCCAGAGCGAGGCCACAGACAGCGAGGCAGCTTCCGTTCCAGCATCACTGTGGTGGCCACCACCTGCGTGTGGGGACAGAAGGGGACCACATCAGAGGCGGGTGCAGACCGGGAGAGGAGAGGATGCTGGGCAGAAGGACAACAGTTTAGCAATGGCTGGGAGACTCATGGTTTCTTAGAGATGACAGGCACCACTCCTAAGGCGAGGATGGTGGTGTCAGCTTTGTCAACCCCCTTCTCCGGGAGAGAGTCAAGGAGCCTTGAGCCCCACCGTGCTTCACCCAGTGACCTGACAGCCATGCCAAGCTGATCCTGCAGAAGGTTGCGAGACCTTGCTCCAAGCACACAGGAAGGAGGGCAGAGCACAGAGAAAGGATCCGTGGGGCTACAGAATATTTTGACCCTTCAGGTATAAAGACTACTTAGAAATGCAACCATCCTCATGAGAAATCTCATATCAATACATTTGCATGGGAAAAATATTTTCATGAGCAAACCCTGTTTGGCCAGCTCAGGATTTTTTTTTTAAACTCCATTTTCAATACAACACAGTTAAATACCATCCAATTTGAGGGATTTCCGTTTTTATTTTGCTGAAGTTTTGTTAAGTTATTTTCCAAGCCTATTTTTAAATGATGATTTGATGGCAATTAGTTCATTCTTTTGTGCCCATCATGATTATCTAGCTGGAAGATAGTTTCTGCTACTCTGGGGAGGTTTGGTGATATTATTTTTAACAGCCCAATTTTTCTGGGTCAAATTTTGAAGCCTTAACTCTTGCCCCCCCAAACGTTTGGTACTCTGGTTTTTATTCAGTAACAAAATTTACTGGCTGCCGTTGTAGCCACTATCAAGCTTTACTTCTTGTTGATTATTCTAGAAATGACAGGTTTTAATTTTTGCAGAAACTGAGGAATTCTTTTCAGCTATTCCGGTATTGCTTGTGGTAATGCTAACCCAATTCTTCTGCACACTTTGCATTATTTTTTCGTACCGTGCAATATCTGTTTAAACAGAGGGTAGGGTCAAAATATCCTGCTTCCGAGTTTGGCCCCATGACTTGTACTCACCCTCCCAGCCACCAGGGGGCTCACCTGGGCCCTCCAGAGCTCATCGCGCTCGTGGGCCACCCGCCAGTGGGTGTCGCCCATCATGGCAATAAGGAGGTTGAGCATGAGCAGAGCGGCGATGATGGCAAAGGCGGCGTAAGTGATGCCGTACATGAAGGGCAGGTCCACGTCATAGTTGGCAGGGCCATCGATGATGGTGAGGAACAGCTCAAAGGTGCTGAACAGCGCCATAGGGTAGTTGTAGAAATGGCCCAGGTCGTTGGGGTCCTCTGCCTGGAAGATGACGAAGAAGGCTGCTCCACACACGGGGGTGAGAGTTAATATGGCAACCATATACGTGGCTAAACCACAGCCAGCTCTTTGCTGCCCATCTCAGTCCCGTCTCCTTCATCTCCAGGATCACCATCCCCGCACTGCATCACTCCATACTTCGGGTTCTTACAGACCCTCATTTTCCATATGGCTCACCCTCCTGATGCCAAGAGCCCCCTCTCACCTCCGCCTTCCTCCCCATCTTCCCCCCAAGTTTATCTAGAGGCATTCTGTGCTTTCTAGTTTCCTCCAGCCTCTCCAGCCCACGGCCCCCCATCTTAGATGATTTACCTGAGGCAAAGCCCAGGATGACCACAGCCATGAGCCAGCAGAATCGCATCAGATCACCAAAAATCATCTGGAGGGAAGAGGGGGAGGGAGGACATCTCCACACCGGTCCCTTGAGCAACTGTCCCTTACAGCCTCTAAGAGGGCTAACCCTGCGGCATCTAAGAGAACCACCCTCTAGGATAGAGTTGGCAAACTATGCCCTGCAGGCCAAAGCCACTTGGCCTGTTTTGGTATGGTCTCTAAACTAAAGGACCAAAAACTATCCTTTTTATAAAAAGGGATTGAGAAAATAATGAAGAGTTAAAAAAAAAAGAATATGCAACAGAGAGCACATATGATGCACCGAGCCTGAGATGTCTGGTTCAAGCCCTTTACAGAAATGTTGGCAGCTCTGCTCTGGGACATTTCTCTGGAAAGCTGAGGAGGAGGGACTGACCTTCTGGATCATGATGGTGAAGGGGCCCAGCATCTGGAATCCTCGGGCAAAGTACATGACGTTGCACCAGCCCAGCACCAGCGCAAAGGACATGGGCACCACCTCCCCGCTGGTGCTGGTGAGCCGCATCACCATGATCATCAGCACCGTGCAGGCGTAGGTGATGCTGGGGGGAGAGCAGGGAGTGAGAGGGAGACTGGGCTGATCTGGGGATCCAAGGGCAAGACGGTGGTGGAGACAGTTCCTCCAGACCCAGCCATCACAAGCTCAATACACAGGGTCACACACATATCGGAGAGGGAGGGGTCTCTGGAGTCAGGGTTGTCTGGGGCTCAGGAATCCAGGGAGTGAAACTAGAGCCTGAGGATGGGAGGAAGAAGACTCACAAGAGCACATGGAACGGCCCTCCGATGATGGTCTGTCCAAAGAAGCGGGTGACTCCTAGCCGGAGGATGTCTGGAATCTGGAAAGAGGCCAGGAAGACACAAAAGCACTTGTAGACTGAGACTCAGGCTGGATCCCTGGGGCTGCCAGCCTCACACCTGGGTTCCTGACCACAGCGCACCTCTAAGAGCAGGATGATCACAGCTCCAAAGACGGACACCAGCTCCCCCACCAGTCGGAGGTGATCCTGGGGGGTCACGTAGGCCTCCTGAGGGGAGAAACACGGTCAGAGGACTCGGGGCTTCCCTGCATCTGCCCGGCCTGCCCCCTGGTGCAAGTCAGCGCCCCCTGGTACACAAGGTCACCAGCCTGGTCAGATTCTTCTTAACCTATTTGGTTTGCCCATCTGAAACTCTGCTCTGAGAGCATGTCTGTTTTTGTGTGCATGTATTTTGAGTGTGCATGTCTTCAAGACCTGGGCAAGAGGAGAAAGGTGGGTTGGAAGACAGAAAAGTGATGACGTGGCTGAGAAAGGGCAGAGAACTGAATCCAGCCCAAAGCTCTGCTGCCCCTAAGGTCTCACCTCAAGCAGCTTCTGCTGGAGGAGGGTGTTGTCTCGGGGGCTGGTTTGGTTGCTGGTCCTGGGCTTGAGGGGGCGGTAGACACAGCACACGGTGAAGCAGACGATGTAGAGCAGGTAGATGGCGCCCAGCATACAGAAGTACGGCCGCCCGTATCGCTTCCACTTGAGGCTTACCAGCTCCTTCAATGGCGTCTGGTCCAGGACCTGGCGAGCCTGCAGCAGCAGGAGGAAGCAGCTCAGAGACCCTGACCTCCCTCCCCAGCTGCTCCTGGCCCTGCAGACCACACCCCCGTACCTCCCGCTTCTTGGAGGTGACGATCAGTTCCAGCAGGGATGGATCCTCCCCCTGGGAGTCGATCTCCGTGATGTCGTAGAGGGTGGAGGTCAGTGGCCCGCACGTCCACTGGATGTGCTTCCACTTCTGCATCAGGTGCTGGAACATCTGAGGTGGAGGGTGGGGAGACGAGTGAGGAGGGGCAAGCAAAGGGGACTGTCATGTGTGGCTGGGAGGCTTGTCCAGAAGGACAGTGGTGCTCAAAGGGTGCCTGCTCTTCACCTAGAAACCACAGCTTCCTGGGCAGAAGAACCCGTCTTCACGCCAGCCTCCTAGGCTCATCCTCTTCCCTCGCCACTCCCTCCAGAGCTTGGAAAGAGGGGGTGAAAGGATTCAGGGCTGCTGCCCCGGGGGTGAAAGGGCAGGTGGACGGAGGCATTACACACGACTCCAGGGTGAACTCTAGGCTCTAGAAGCCCCCAGTAACTCAGGGGAGAGAAAGTGGCTGAGAAAGAGGGCAAGGAAGACAGGGGCCGAAAAAGAAATTTCAATCAAAGCTGAAAACAAGATCTCAGCATTTTAGGGAGGCCCATTCACATCTATTTCCTTTAAGGGCCAGACAGTGTAAGATGAACGTCAGAGAAGGACATGGTGGGGCTGGGGGAGTGCCCCTCACCACAGTGTTGCCCTCCACTCCGGCCAGCTTGAAGGGGGTGAGGCCCTGGTGATTGGGCAC